CTCTCTCCCTATTTATTTCAAAACCCCCTTCCCCTCCCCCTTTTCTGATGAAGGGTCTCGGCCCGAAACGTCAGCCTCTCTGCTCCTATGATGCTGCTTGGCCTGCTGTGTTCATCCAGCCCTGCACCTTGTTGTCTCGGATTCTCCAGCATCTGCAGTTCCTACTATGGCCGATGTCCCTGGACTGTTGGGGGGGAGGAGGATGTAATGATTGGAACCGTCAGCCAGGTGGACCTCATAGAATGAGTTCCCTGACTGGGGCTGTTAGGGAATCCTGGCTGACAGATATAATCAGGGAGTGTCAGGGGTTATTCTCGCTCTGAAAGCTAGGTCTGAGGAAGCCAGCCCGTCGTGTACCATGAACGTGTGAAAATAAAGAGTGACTTCACGACGGGATACCAGCCTCCGTGGAGTTATTTCACTTATTACCCTTTCTTCCTGCTTTCCCCTCTTCCCATTCCCCTATCCGATTACTCTCCATACTCCCTTATTACCCTTTCCACCATTCCTCTCTCCGACCTCATCAACCCACTTCCCTATTACGTTCGCCCTTATTCCCCTCCACCTAATTAAACCCCTCCCTCATTACCATTCCCTGTCGTTCATTATCCTCTCCATCCCGCTCATTTTTCTCACCTTCATTACACTCTCCCTCTGCCTCACTGCCCTCTTCGTCTGCGATTGGTTCCTGTTGGATTCTTTTCTCCTATTGGTTGGAATATGATCTTCCGGCTTGCCCGGTCTTTTCCGGGAGCGCGGGTACTGACGGAGCATTGAGTACAATCTATCTGGTTACTCACCCCAGAGAGTGTGGGAGGTGAGGATGATCGTGATTCCCTGGAAAGAGGATCAGAGACACAGGAGGATTGATGAAGGATGGGAGGCGGAGGCGCAGCGTCCGACAGAGGCTCGGCGATAGAGGGCCCTGTGTCCGAGAGTGGGTCAGAGATAGAATCAGGCTGAGTTCTTGGGAGTGAGGGAGAGGAAGAACAAAGGGCAGGAATGAGGCGACGGAAGTGGGAAATGGGGGTAGGTAAGGAGTAAAGGAGCGAGTCAGCGTCTTGAATAGAGCGAGAGAGAAAGAGTGCTGCCTGGGAAAACATTAAGGATCAGTGTCAGATTGATTTGAGAGGGCAGGGATAAAAAGCAGGTCAGTGTCATTAAAACATGAACTGTTTTTCAAATGTGCACAAATAATGTGCTGCTGTTTCCAGTGCAGTTTTCATGGATCTGTATGAATTACCAAACTGGTAGAACTACAACAGATTGATGATAGTCAGGTGTATTTATTTTGCTAATGTCTTGCTTTGTCAGTCAAACATTTTTATTAGCTTCTGTTTTCTCCAGACTTGTTTTGGAGAATCTGGAGAATGAGCACTGATATATTATAATATTATGAAATCCCTTCTGTTCTCAGTGAAACATGGCGCGACAGAGGGTAAAAAAGGAGAGACTGACTGATTCTAAAGTAGATGGGAAAAATGGAAAGAGTACTGGACTTCACAAGAAACCTCAAGTTAAGGAAAAGAAGAAAAAATCCAATTTGGGGAATATTTTCATCAATATAGCAATTGTACTGTGCATTGTGAGCAGTGTCTGGTTTTGCTACGCTATCTATATGAGGTCCTGGCTTGCTAACCGAATCGTAACACCTCATCCCTCTTTGCGGATACTGGACAACAATTTTACAAGTCCAGCATTGTCGCCGGAGAAATTCTGGGGATCCTACCGACCTCAGGTATATTTTGGAATGAAAACACGGAGTCAAAAATCAATTGTAACAGGTAAAGTAAGTCATGATTTGATGTCGTGGTGCATATTGGTGACAGGGTTTTGATTCAGGTCAAAGGGGTGGCCATGGGTACCTGCATGGGCCTGAGCTATGCCTGTCTCTTTATGGGGTACACAGAACATTCCTTGTTCCAGTCCTGCTTAGTCGCCCAGCCATAAATGTTTCTCTGGTATGTCGATGACATCATCAGTGCTGCTTTCCCCTTTTGTCCAGAATTGGAAAAATTTATCTGTTTCCCTTTTCAATTTTCAACCCTCTCTCACCTTCACCTGGTCCATTTCTGGTTCCTCTTGTTCCTTCCTCGACATCACTGTTTCATTGAAACAAAGAAGATAGGAGCAGGAGGAGGCCATTCGAGCCTGCACCGCCATTCTTCATGATCATGCTGATCATCCAACTCAGTAGCCTAACCCTGCTTTCTCCCCATAACCTTTGATCCCATTTTCCCCAAGTGCTATATCTAGTCGCCTCTTGAATACATTCAATGTTTTGGCATAAACTACTTCCTGTGGTAATGAATTCCACAGGCTCACCACTCTTTGGGTGAAAAAATGTCTCCTCATCTCCGTCCTATATCGTCTACCCTGAATCCTCAGACTGTGACTCCTGGTTCTGGTCACACCCACCATCAGGAACATCCTCCCTGCATCTACCCTGTCCAGTCCTGTTAGAATTTTATAAGTCTCCGAGATTCCCCCCTCATTCATCAGATCTCCAGCGAAAACAAGCCTAACTTAGTCAATCTCTCCTCATACATCGGACCCGCCATCCCCAGAATCAGCCTGGTACACCTTTGCTGCATTCCCTCGAGAGCAAGAGCATCCTTCCTCAGAAAAAGAGACCAAAACTGCACACAATATTCTAGGGTGGACTCACCAAGGCCCTGTCCAACTACAACAGCATGTCCCTGCTCCTGTCCTCGAAACCTCTTGCAATGAAGGCCAACATACCATTTGCCTTCTTTACCTGCTTACCTTCAGCAACTGGTGCACAAGGATGCCCAAGTCCCGCTACGCACTCCCCTCTCCCAATTTACAGCCTTTCAGGTAGTAATCTGCCTTCGTGTTTTTCCTTCCAAAGTGAATAACCTCACATTTATCCAAATTATACTGCATCTGCCATTGATTTTCCCACTCATCCAACCTGTCAAGATCATACTGAAGGATCTCTGCATCCTCGTCACAGTTCACTCTCCCACCCAACTTGGTCATCTGCAAACTTGGAGATGTTATATCTTTTTTCCTTCATCCACATCATTAATATATATATTGTGAGTAGCTGGGGTCTTGGCACCAATCCCTGTGGCACCCACTAGTTACTGCCTGCCAATTTGTAAAGGACCCATTAATTTCTATTCTTTGTTTCCTCACTGACAACCAGTCTCCTATCCAACTCAATACACTTCCCCCTCTTATGTGGGACTTTGTTGTGTGTTTGGACTTTCAGAAAGCATTTGACATCGACTGGCTCCCCCTTGTCAACTCTACTAGTTACATCTTTATCGATTTGTCAAGCATGATTTCCCCTTCATAAATCCATGTTGACTCTCTCTGATCCTGCAACCGTTATCTAAATGCTCTGCTATAAAATCCTTGACATTGGATTCAAGAACTTTGTCCACTACTGATGTTAGGCTCTGGTCTATAATTCCCTGTTTCTACCTACCTCCCTTTTTGAATATTGGAGTGACATTAGCCATCCTCTAATCTACAGGGACTGTACCAGAGTCTGTAGAATCCTGGAAGATGACCACCAATGCATCCACTATTTCTAGAGCTACTTCCTTAAGTACTCTGGGATGTAGATTTATTAGGCCCTGGGGATTTATCAGCCTTCAATCCCAACAATTTTCCCAACACTATTTCTCTATTAATATTGATCTCCCTCAGTTCTTTCTTCTGACTAAACCTTGCATCCTCCAACATCTGGTATCTGGTTTGTTTCCTGTTTTGTGAAGATAGAACCAAAGTATGTACTTTGCTAGCCATTTCTTTGTCCCCTATTATACATTCCCCCGTTTCTGTTTGTAGGCAACCTACATTTGGCTTTACCAATCTCTTTCTCTTCAGGTACCTATAGAAACTCTTAGCCTTAGTCTTTATGTTCCCTGCAAGCTTACTTTTGTACTCTTTTTTTTTTTTCCCTTTTTTAATCAATCCCTTGGTCCTTCTTTGCAGAATTCTAAACTGCCCCTAATCTTCAGATGTATTATTTTTCTTGGGCAGCCTGTATGCTTCTTCCTTGGATTGGATACTATCTCTTATTTCCTTTGTAAGCCATGGATTGGCCCACTTACCCATTTTGCTTTTGCGACAGACAGGAGTAAACAGTTGTTGCAAGTCCCCCATGCGTTCTTTGAATGTTTGCCATTGCCTATCCACTGTCATCCTTTTAAGTAACTTTCCCCAAACTATCAAGGCCAACTCATGCCTCATATCCTCATAGTTTCCCTTTACTGAGGTTCAGCACCCTGGTCTCTGAATCAACAACCTCACTCTCCATCTTGATTTTAAAAAAAATTCTATCATGTTATGGTCGCTTTTCCCCAAGGGGTCTCGCACAGCTAGATTGGCAATGATTCCCTTCTCATTACATGGCACCCAGTCTAAGATGGCCTGCTCACTAGTTGGTTCCTCCACATATTGGTCAAGAAAACCATCCTGTATACACTCCAGGAATCCCTCCTCTACAGCATTGTAGCTAATTTGATTTGCCCAATCTATGTGCAGATTAAAATCACCCATGATCACTGATATTCCCTTATCACATGCATCTCTAATTTCCTGTTTAATACCATTCGCGATATCACCACTGCAGTTTGAGGTCTATATATGACACCTACTAATTAATGTTTTTTGCCCCTTGGTATTTCTCAACTCTACCCATACTGACTCCACATTGTTAAAGCAGGGTGTGAGGATGTGTATCCAAGGTTACTGTGGGAGTCAGTTAGTTTGTAATGGATATTAGTGGCCAGCCTATCCCAGAAATTTGTGCCTTAATGCATACAGCATCTGCAATAACTTTCTCACTATGGTGTTAATTTCCTGTTTAACCGGCAATGCCGCTCTGCTACCTTTTCCTTTTTGCCTGTTCTTCCTGAATATAGAATACCCTGGGACATTCAGTTCCCATCCCTGGTCACCGTGCAGTCATGTCTCCTTAATACCAATTATATCGTACCCATTTACATCTATCTGTGTGATTAGTTCATCCACTTTATTGCAGATGCTCCGTGTATATAAGTCCTGCCCTGATTTGCGTTTCCAAAATGCAGCACCTCACTTTATCTAAATTTAGCTCTATCTGCCACCCCTCAGCTGATCCAATCAAGGTCCTGTTTACACTGAGGTAACCTTTTTCACTGTCTGCTGCACTACCAATTTTGGTGTCATCTGGAAATGATTGATTGTGTTTCGGTACACATGACAATAAAATCAGTGAAAAGCTTTGTTTCTGAGCAGTACAGGCAGATCACAGCAAGCAAAGGATGTACAGATCAAAAAAACTTAGAGGCATACAAGTTACAGTATTTGAGGCTAGAGTCCATTCAACAGTCTGATAACAGCCATAAAGAAGCTGCTCTTGAACCTGCAGGTGCATGTTCAGGCTTCTGTATCTTCTGCCTGAAGGAAGAGGTTGCAGGTGGTCATTACCAGGTTGCGATGGGTCTTTGATGTTGGTTATCTTTCCGCAGCAGTGAAAGGTTGGCTACAGCGATGATCTGGGCTGTGCATGCTTCTGTAGTTTCTTACAGTCCTGTGCAGAACTGTTGCTATACCAGGCCATTACTCATATTCACATCCAAATCATTTACATCAATGACCAGAAAGCAGTGGACCAAGCACCGATCCTTGTGGCATGGATGGACAGGAGAAACTCGTGGCTGTAAGAGCTGGTGCTTTTTTTTTGAGTTTTTTTTCCAGTGTTGGAGCTGATTTCCTTGATTTCTTGGAGCAGTAATTACTGTTTTGTAAGCTGTTACTTTGTTTTGGAACTTTGGGGAAAAAAAGCAGTTTTAAAACAGGAGGAAAGAGGGAAGAGCAGTAACCATGTGGGAGGTGGATAAAAAAGGAGCAGTGAACCTGCACAGCTAGCTGACCAGGCTATGAAATTCCACAGGTGACTGCCTGTGCTGTGTAGTTACAAACATCTCTGGACATCAAAGTTTGGTGTAAAAAAAAAAGTGATAGATAAAGAAGAGGTGCTAAAAAACCTGGCAGCACTCCAGGTAGAGAAATCACCGGGCCCAATTGGGATGCATCCTAGATTGCTGAGAGAGTTAAGGGAACAAATTGCAGAGCCGTTGCTAGAAATTTTACATGCTTTGCTGTACACAGGATTAGGGGGACATCATTGTTTAAGAAAGACACAAAGGATAACCAGGAAACAATAGATGTGTCAGCTTGACATCAATTTTGGGAAAACTGATGGAGGCCACAAAATAGGATAAAATGAATCTACACTTAAGAGAAAAATATGTTCGTACTAGAAAGTCAACATGGCTTTGTCAAGTGCCAGTCATGACTGACAAATTTAATTGAGTTCTTTTATGAGGGAACACAGACAGTGGATGAGGGTAGTGCTGTAGTTGATGTATTTTTGGACTTGTAGAAAATACTTGTTGCCGTGCTACATGGCAGGGTGACCAACAAATTAGAAATGTTTAGGATTGCTGAGTCCTTGGCAGCATGGATGAGAAATTAGCTCATCTGGTGTGGTTAGCACTGCTGCCTCATAGCGTCAGCGAACCGGGTTTGATTCCCACCCTCAGGTGTCTGTCTGTGTTGAGTTTGCGCATTCTCCTTGTGTCTGCATGGGTTTCCTCCAACACTCCAAAGATGTGCAGGTTAGGTGGATTGCCATGGCAAATGTGGGATTACAGGGATATGGTGAAGGTGGTGGGTCTTGGTGAGATGCTCCTCAGAAGATCTGTTTGGACTCGATGGGCTGAGTGACCTGCTTCCACACTGTAGGGATTCTATGATCCTAAAAGG